ATCGGAAGAATACACTTGTTGGAAGGACACCATTCCTTTCAATTCTTTGACCCTACAACAAATACAAAGTACTAACATAATAATGAAAACATTGACAAAGATCAATTATAAAAACTCACTTTACAAGTTCGGCATGGGCCGGGCTGGCACGCAGGCAGCCCGACATGGCACGACAAAATGGTCCTACATGGCATGGGCTCGGCAGGGGCCCGGAACGGCACGAGGAATAGTAGGCATGCAGTGAACAAAATTCCTGAATTTCGGCACGAGCACGACGGGCGGTCCAAAAATTAGATCGCAGGCATGGCACGACCCGGCATGTATAACAGCTCTTTCCAAAGACTCCAACTCCAATTAGTTGTTGCTCCAACATCTATTTCTCCAAGACTCCAACAGCTCTTTTCTCCTAAATTCCTCTAAAAATACTTCAATGAACTCTTCATCATTTTTTTTCCACAACTAATCTCTTCTCAATTCTATTATTCTCTTAATCTCTTATTCTCTAATCTCTTATAATCATTGATTCTCTAATTATATCTGAAATCTCAATATCGAAATTCTGATGAAAAAAATTAAAAGTTCATAAAAATTATTTAGTGGAAAGCAATCGAAGCTTGGTTATAAGATCTAACTAATATTTATTTTTGTCATTGTTATTGTTATTGTTATTATTGCTATTGCTATTGCTATTGTTATTGATATTGTTATTGTTACCAAATAGCTTTTAATCAAATTGCTTTTTGTTTTTGAATTGAGACATAGAAAATCCGAAAATACCTTTTACTGCTTGACGTTTTTCTCTCTCAAAAAATTCTAAAACACTCTTCGGGCATTGTTTTAACGAAGTTCTCAATTCGACCTTACAAAATACACAGTTCGAGTGAAGTCGTGTAACCTTGGGGGTCGATTGGCAAGAGTTCGTGTGTACGAGTGCGAGGAAAATTCAACTTTAGGGCAGTGATATTTGTCACGCCACGAAATTTCTCTTCAGTTTCCAGATAAGCTTTTTGTTTCATTATTAGTCTCATTTCCTACATTCTAAAGTTGAATTTTTTACTCATTATGGCTGATAACGAATCCGCAACTTTTATTCCTACTGCTCTGTCAATGATTCGGCCATGCTTAATTCTTTCGTCCTTGATATGTCTAAAGATCCCTTTGACGAAAAAAAAAAATTATTAAATGTGGTCTGATAAAGTGGAATTTAATGGAATATTTTCTTGCTTGGTCAAATTGGTGTTGATTATGCTCTTCTTGTTGATTCAGCTCCTTTGAATTCCGTTAGAGATTTTGCTAAGGATAATAAAACATGTCGTGGTATGCTTTTACACTACTTGACTCAACCTTTGTATTTAATTTATAGCAAATATAAAAATGCTAAAGACATATGGGATGCTCTAAAAATTAAGTATGGAACTGATGATTTTGGGACTAAGAAACATGTTTGTAGTCGATGGTTGAATTTTCGTATGACTGATGATAAATATGTGCTTTATCAAGTTTATGAATATGAGACTTTGTGTGTTGACGTTATTGCCGAGGGAATGAAGATTTGAGAGACATTTCAATCTAACTGCCTTCTTGAAAAGTTATCGCCTTCTTGGGAATCTGGTAGGCATGTCGCGTACCTATCAAAAATAATCTAACAGACCAATACTAATGTAGACTGGCAAGTAAGGGTCGGATCCCAAGAGACTAAGGTTCAGAAATAATTAAATAGACTCGAATTTCTACTAAGAAAGAATCAATTATAATCAATTATCTACGGAACTAAGTATGAGAAGAATTCGAAAATAAACTAAATGAGATGATTAAATCGAGTACTTAAAACATCCAAGATCTAGTTTCACCACAATTATTATCGATGCAATTGTAATTCTACCCTTAACATACGATATCAATGGAACGGGGAAAAGTAAACCCTAATAAATACCAAGGACCTCTCTCGAGTATCAATGGCTTCCCTAACATACAATCAATCCTATTCTCATGGTATCATGCATATTAGAGACATTAAACACATTACTCTCACTTCCAAATTATCAAACCCAACTACTCTCGTGTTGAGAATCAAACCCTAAATTGATTTACTCAAATCCGTTTTTACCCGACTCTCGCTGTGATAAAAACAATGGAATAATCGCAATACTATAGTTACGTCTAACCTAGCATTGGCATAATCACAATCAATTTAGCAATTCAATTGTTAAAGTTGTTAAAGAATTTAAAGATTTAATTCATGCATCAATAATATTTGGGCTACACTAGATCTTGAATTAAAGAATCTACTCACACATGATTAAAGAAACAAAAACAATAATAAATAATGAAAGCATAATTAAATAACAAAGATGAAAAATAAATACCGAATCTTGAAATTAATGGAAGTAGAAAGCTTGAATCTTCAATCTTGAATTACAAAACTTGGAAAATAATGAAAGAGAACTAGTTCTTAAGGAGAGAAAGAAAAAAAAAATTAAAATAAGGCTTAATGAATAATCCTCCAAAAAACACGGCTAAAAAGGTTTTTAAACAAACCTAAAAAGATAAGATTTAACTCCTAAGTTTGGCGCACTGAAATTCCAGGAGGCACGGACGTGCCTCTATGGCAGAAACTTTGGATTAATTCTTTCGCGATGAGGCACGGGCGTGCTTCAATGGGGCACGGACGTGCCTCCTCTGCTGCGCGTATCACTCATCTGAAATCAGTCATAACTTCATTTCCAGAGCTCCGTTTGAGGCGTGTAATATATCGTTGGAAAGGTCATCAAGTCTACTTTCTAATGCAATTTGAATAACTCCATTATCATTTGTATATCAAAAATTATGAGCATAATAGTGAACAGGTGTCATATTTGTCAAGTATCTCATCAACGTTTTGCTTCATTTTCACTCAATTAGCTCCGTTAATCCTGAAATACATCAAAAACAACGAAACTACCCATAAAAGCATCGAATCATCGAAACTAAACCAAATTACACCAAAATGGACTAAAACACTCGACTAAGCTAATAAAACCAACCAAAAATAAGCTAATAAATACGCACAAAACACGACTTATCAAACTCCCCCAAGCTAGACTAATGCTTGTCCTCAAGCATTTAACCATGAATCACAAGGGAGGAGAATGACAACTCCTCAAACAATCACAATGTGCCATCAAGTTCAAAACCACGATAAAAACGAAATCAAGAGTCAACTTACACAAAAACCACCATTCATCTCATATACTTGGACTTGACAACCAATCTTACCACACATCTCCCCATACCTACTCACACAAACATGAATAGTTCTCACTTTAGTTGTGAAAAATAAAAACAATAACTCTCATGTGTTTTCGGGGTGAAAAATGAAGCCACTCAACCTAAGCATAGCATGCATATCAACTTCACACAACCGGCCTCTTTAGGCTTGCAATGTGACTTTCTCCACTTTTAGTGATTGATGCAAACACGAAAATTATGAAATCCATATTAGGTAAGCTCGGTAAATAAGGGTTAGACGACGTATTTTGGGAATGTGGTGCTTAAAATAAAACAAATCCTAATCCCACTACACATTCAAATGTCGGGTTCAATCCAACCTTATTTCCTCCAACTTCATACAATTATAAACATAGCCCTTTATTCTTTCCTTCACCTTTTTTTTCTTCTTTTTTTTCACACAAAGAGGAAGGAATTAAATAAATAAAACAAATGGAAGAACTCTTAATTTTTTTCAAAGGCCTTTGAGACCATATTTCTTTTCTTCTTTTTTTTTTCTTTTCTCATAATCTCCCTTCTTTTCTCTTTGTTTTCTTTCCTTTTTTTTTCTTTTTTTTTTCGTTTTTTCCATTTTTTTCGTTTTTTCAACATCATTCACACTCATAGGGCTTAACAAATGTAAAACACCTTCAAAATAAACATAGAAAAATAGCTCTAAAGCTTTAAGTATAGGGTGTCAAGAAGGGGTTAATATGGCTCAAATTGGTTCAACCTATGGGTGAATGAAAAATAAAAAAAAATAAAAAAAAAAAGAAAAAAACATGAAGGCCTAAAATGTGGAGGCTCTAATTTCTACAAGGAAATTTCAATCATCTTTTCGCGACATGCATCATAAAGTCTCAAATAGTCACAAAGCAAGACCAAGAATTTGATTATATGAAGGACAATCTAAATCACACAAGAAGAAACATGACTGAGGTAGAGTGAAATCAGTCAAATAAGGCTCAAGACTCTCACCGGGTACACAAACTATTCACATAAGTGGAGCGAGGAGACCATCCTAGCCACAAACCAACTCAAATCCAAGCACATCAGTCAATGGGTTTTCAAAAACTCTTTTCAAAAAGCACACATATGTGATTATTATCATAGAAGCATAGTCATGCAATGGCATATTATTCGACACTAGAAAGAAATAAACTACCCAAAAACTGAAATAAATCTAATATATACAAGGTGAAAAGCATATCCTCCCCCAAGCTAAATCATACATTGTCCTCAATGTATGCATATAACAGTGTGAAATGAACAAGGGGAAGGGGAAAGCAAATTACTGATAAGGAGGGGTGGAGGGAAAGCCATACCTCGGGTCGCTGCTAGGACCGCCTTGAAAGTGCCTCTGCAGATATATATATATATATATATATATATATATATATATATATATTTTTACGAGCTGAGGCACGGACGTGCCTCTCTAGAAAAATAGTCCCCAAAGTTTCTGCCTCTGAGGCACGGACGTGCCTCCTTAGGGGCACGGTCGTGCCTCTGCAGAAATGTGATTTTCTCCTTTTTCCTTCTTCTTTGCGCATTTCTTCCTTGTTTCTTCTTCTTTTTGCTTACTTTTCACCTATATAAAAACCACAAACAAAACAAAAACTAGTTATAAGAATCAAAACAAAAAATTCAAGAAAAATAATGAAATTAACGAAATAAGTGTAAGAACTCGAGAATGTGTTGCCTCCCATTTAATGCTTGTTTAAAAGGTCTTTAGCTCGACCTCCCTTGTTGGCTCAACCGGGATCATTACACGGAGAAGGAGGACCGCGATGTTGTTCATGAATTCCTCCAAGCGACTCCTTCATCGGCTTATTCACTTGCCTTATAACTGAATTCACCTTCATATAGCCAAACATGCCATCGGGTGGAACTTTATCCTTTCCTTTCACGAAATTCCTGTCAAACACATACCTATCAGATGGGGGGTTAGTAGCATCGATTCTCAAATAGGTACCACCATCAAACATAGAGTTATGCCCATCAAGCACGGCTTTTAACAACCGTTGCGAGAAGGGCATCGGTTCATCATTGGCCGGTGGAGCTACATATTTGGAGCCTTGAACATCCTTGCTCCTTATGTCCTTTCTAGGCTCCTTGATACACACCTTCTCAACAATTTGCTTCGAAATAGTTCATCTCTTCTCAGGAAGATAGCATTGCATTGTTCTTTCTGAACCTTCGCTTGATCTTGAAGAGTCGATAGGCGGTTCACCTGTTGCGAAAGTTGGCTTATCTGATAAATAGTGTCTCCCGTAGAGGGAGCACCCATGACATTCAAAAGTGAGTATTCCAACTTTTCATCACCTACTTTAAAAGTGATCTTACCTTTCTTCATGTCTATGATTGCACCTGTAGTAGCTAGGAAAGGTCTACCAAGTATGATCGGAACATTCACATCTTCTTTCATCTTCATCACAACAAAATCACATGGAATGAAAAATTTACCTACTCTGAGGGGTACATCCTCAAGTACACCCAAAGGAAACTTCACTGACCTGTCTGCAAGTTGTAGAGATATTCGTGTAGGTTTAAGCTCACCCATCTGTAGCTTCTTGCATATGGACGGCGGCATAAGGCTCACACTTGCACCTAGATCACATAGTGCCCTGTTGATCTCAATATCTCCAAGCTTCACTGGAATTGAATAGCTACCTGGATCTCCTAATTTCTTAGGGAGAGTGTTCTGCAAAATAGCACTGCACTCTGCATTCAAAGCAACTGTAGTATTCTCTTCTAATTTCCTCTTATTGGATAGCATATCTTTCAAAATTTTTGCATAAGATGGCATTTCAGATATGGCATCTAGAAATGGAATATTAATATGAAGCTTTTTAAGAATATCGAGGAACTTACTGAACTTTTTCTCAAGTTTAGCTTGTGCTAACCTTTGAGAAAAAGGAATCTTGGGCACATATGGAGAAAGTGGCTTTGGTGGTGGTTCCTTTGATGCCTCCTCAACCCTAGCATCTTCTACTTCCTTTTTTCTTGCCTCTGCTTCTTCATTGACCTCCCTTGATGGCTCCATGGTAGGAGGATCGTCCAACTGCCTTCCACTCCTCAGGGCTACAAAATTCATTTGGGCTCTTTGAGGTTGTTCTATCTGGCCCGGGAAGGTTCCTGGAATCTTTAAAGCTTGGTTAAATTGGTTGGCCAATTGGCTTATCTGATTCTCCATAAGTTTACTCTGGGCCTGCAACTGTTGGATAGAGCTATTTTGATGTTGGATGGCACTGTTTGTTGCGGTTATGAAGCTCTCTAAGGTCACCTCTAGGCTTGATTTCTGAGGTTGTGGTTGCATAGGTTGTTGGGCATTGGGTGGTTTCTGTTGGAAGCCTGGTGGTGGTTGGTTGTAGGTATTGGGTTGAGGTGGTGGTGGAGGGTTTTGTTGCGCTTGGGAGTTTTTGTAGGAAAAGTTGGGATGGTGTTTCCATCCTTCATTGTAGGTGTTGGAATAAGGGTCATAAGGCCTCTTTGGGCTAGAGGAGTAGAAAGCATTGGCTTGCTCGATTGATATTTCTTCCGCATTTTGCGAAATCAGTGGGCAATCTGGAGCAACATGACCCTGCACATGACATAACTGACACAACTCCTGTGGGGTGTTAGAAGTTCCTGCTTGGAACTTATCAAACCTGCTTGTTAGTGCCTGCACAGAACTAGTTAGCATAGTTAAAGCATCAACATCAAATTTACCTCCCTTTTTCACAATGTTTCGGCCTCCAGGATGATAGTTATCATTGGCCGCCATCGTCTCTATGAGCTCCCTAGTTTCAGTGGGGTTCTTTGTCAAGAGAGAACCTCCTGATGCAGCATCTATGTAAATACGGAACTCATGAGTCATGCCATTGTAAAAGGTCTGCATCAAAATCCAATCTGGAATGCCATGGTGAGGGCATTGTCTCTTCAATCTTTTAAATCTCCTCCAAGCCTCATAGAGAGACTCATCATCTGACTGCCTAAAAGTTTGTAGCTAATTCCTCAATCTTGCAGTCTTCTCATTCCCTAAAAACTTCACTAGGAAGGCCACTAACTTGTCCCATGTATCGAACAAGCCAGTGCCTTCATCTCTTAACCACTCCTTTGCCCTGTCTCGAAGTGAGAAGGGGAAAAGGCGTAGTCTGATTGCATCATCTGTAACACCATTCAACTTCATAGTATCACATTTCTCCAAAAAGCTATCTATATGACTTACGGGGCAATCATGTGGTAGCCCTGCGAATGAATCATTGGAGATGAACTGTATGAACTGTGGCTTGAGCTCGAAGTGCTGAGCCGTGACTGGTTGTCTTATGATGCTTGAAAGGACTCTGGTAGTCGTGTCAGGAATACCGTACTACAAGAGGGATTTCGTTGGTTGGTCTACCATGTTTCTCCTGCGTCTGTTCCTTGTTCTCCTTCTTCTTATAGTTGCCTCGATCTCAGAATCAAATGGTTCAAGATCTTCTGAACCTGAGCTACGTGTGGGCATGCACAAGAAAAACTAGAGAAAAGTATCAAAAACACAAGGGAAAATAGCCGAAGCAACGAAATAAACTTAGTACAGATGAATCACAAATAATTCTAATGAAACCGTTAGTCCCCGGCAACGGCGCCAAAATTTGGTAGGTGTGTCGCGTACCTATCAAAAATAACCTAACAGACCAATACTAATGTAGACTGGCAAGTAAGGGTCGGATCCCAAGAGACTAAGGTTCAGAAATAATTAAATAGACTCGAATTTCTACTAAGCAAGAATCAATTATAATCAATTATCTACGGAACTAAGTATGAGAAGAATTTGAAAATAAACTAAAAGAGATGATTAAATCAAGTACTTAAAACATCCAAGATCTAGTTTCACCACAATTATTATCGATGCAATTGTAATTCTACCCTTAACATACGATTTCAATGGAACGGGGAATAGTAAACCCTAATAAATACCAAGGACCTCTCTCGAGTATCAATGGCTTCCCTAACATACAATCAATCCTATTCTCATGGTATCATGCATATTAGAGACATTAAACACATTACTCTCACTTCCCAATTATCAAACCCAACTACTCTCGTGTTGAGAATCAAACTCTAAATTGATTTACTCAAATCCGTTTTTACCCAATTCTCGCTGTGATAAAAACAATGGAATAATCGCAATACTATAGTTACGTCTAACCTAGCATTGGCATAATCACAATCAATTTAACAATTCAATTGTTAAAGTTGTTAAAGAATTTAAAGATTTAATTCATGCATCAATAATATTTGGGCTACACAAGATCTTGAATTAAAGAATCTACTCACACATGATTAAAGAAACAAAAACAATAATAAATAATGAAAGCATAATTAAATAACAAAGGATGAAAAATAAATACCGAATCTTGAAATTAATGGAAGTAGAAAGCTTGAATCTTCAATCTTGAATTACAAAACTTGGAAAATAATGAAAGAGAACTAGTTCTTAAGGAGAGAAAGAAAAACAAAATTAAAATAAGGCTTAATGAATAATCCTCCAAAAAACACGGCTAAAAAGGTTTTTAAACAAACCTAAAAAGATAAGATTTAACTCCTAAGTTTGGCGCACTGAAATTCCAAGAGGCACGGACGTGCCTCTCTATAGGCACGGACGTGCCTCTATGGCAGAAACTTTGGATTAATTCTTTTGCGATGAGGCACGGGCGTGCTTCAATGGGGCACGGACGTGCCTCCTCCGCTGCGCGTATCACTCATTAAATCAGTCATAACTTCATATCTGGAGCTCCGTTTGAGGCGTGTAATATATCGTTGGAAAGGTCTTCAAGTCTACTTTCTAATGCAATTTGAATCACTCCATTATCATTTGTATATCAAAAGTTATGAGCATAATATTGAACAGGTGTCATATTTGTCAAGTATTTCATCAACGTTTTGCTTCATTTTCACTCAATTAGCTCCGTTAATCCTGAAATACATCAAAAACAACGAAACTACCCATAAAAGCATCGAATCATCGAAACTAAACCAAATTACACCAAAATGGACTAAAACACTCGACTAAGCTAATAAAACCAACCAAAAATACGCTAATAAATACGCACAAAACACGACTTATCAGAATCCTATGTTCATTCCATGAAGCATAAACAGAAAGATTTCACTCTCCAGGAATTGGTTTCTCACATCAAAATTGAGGAAAAAAACCGAATTCAGGTGAAAATTAAACCTCGTGATCATTCTTCATCTACTGCTAAGTTGAATCTAAGTCTGTAGGTAAAAATTAGGGATTCAAAGGCAAGGGACCTAATCAGGTTCATGGCACAAAGTATAACAGGTTTCTGAAAAATAAGAGCAGTGGTACATTCAATGGAAAGTGCTATACTTGTGGTGAAACAGGACATACTTCCTGATTTTTTCCTAAGGGACATGGACCCAGTCCAAAAAATAAGGGCAATAGTCGTAGCTCTAAATCACAGGTTAATCTTACCGAAGACATTATTTTTGCAACTGTCTCTGAAGTTGATTTAGTTAGTATTGTGACTAAATGGATTGTTGATACAGGAGCAACTCGTCATATTTGCTCTAATAAAGAACGTTTTCAGAATTATGAACAGGTTGGAGATGGTGAATGTGTTTTCATGGGAACTCCAGTTTTGTGAGTGACCATGGAAAAGGAAAATTTCTCTTAAAACTTACTTCTAGAAAAATTATTGGTTTACAAAATGTTTTGCATGTGCCTGATATTCGCAGAAACCTTATTTCTGGAGCTTTACTTAATAAAGCAGGCATTAAGTTAACTTTTGAATATGATAAGCTTGTACTCACCAGAAATGGTGATTTTGTGGAAAAGGTTTTTTTTAATGGGGGCTTTTTATTTTGATGTTGATGTTATCATTGATAATAAAATTTCTATTGGTTCTGTTTATATTACTGAGTCTATTTCTTTGAGGCACTCTAGGTTAGGACACGTTAATGTAGCCTCTATTAAGAGGTTAAAACAACATAATTTAATTCCTAACTTAAGTTCTACATATTTTGATAAATGCCAAGTTTGTGTTGAGGCTAAACATCCAAAGAAACCTTTTAATAAAGTTGTAAATAGGTCTTTTTCTTCTCTACTAGAGTTAATTCACACAGACTTAGGTGACTTTAAAAACTCAATGAGCAGGGGAGGGAAACACTACTATATCACTTTTGTAGATGATTTTTCCCGTTTTACAAAGGTTTATTTGTTAAGTACAAAAGATGAGGCTGGAGCTAAGTTTCTAATTTACAAAGCTGAAGTAGAAAATCAATTAGACCTTAAAATAAAAAGGCTCAGATTAGACCAAGATGGGAATATGATGGAAATCTCCTTAAAAATTTTGTGAAGAAAACGGAATTATTCATGAAAATTCATCTCTCTATACCCCTGAACAAAATGGAATAGCTGAAAGAAAAAATAGGACTTTAAAGGAAATGATGAATGCTATGATTATAAGTTCTGGTATGCCTACTAACATATGGGGGAGGCTCTTCTTTCTGCTTGTCATGTTTTAAACAGCGTTCCCCATAAAAAAACTAGACAAGACTCCTTATGAGTTGTGGAAAGGTTATAAGCCTAACCTTAATTATATCAAAGTGTGGGGGTGTCTAGGTAAAATCGGTTTGCCTGATTTTCAAAATACTAAAATTGGTCCTAAACTGTTGATGGTATTGTTATTGGTTATGCTTCTAATAGTGTTGACTACAGGTTAATTCTTAAAGATGGTTCTAGATTTGGACCTATAAAGGAATCCAGAGATGTTGAGTTTTTTGAACATATTTTTCTATGAAAATGCATGAACATCCTTCTTTTCTTGTTGCATCATCTTCTAGCATTTCTCAACATGACTCTGCATCTTCCATTGATCTTGTAGAACCTAGAAAGAGTAAGAGAGCTAGGGTTGAGAAAAGCTTTGGTCCTCATTTTGTTACAAGCTTTCTAGCTGAACAAGAATTTATAGATGAGCAAGTTGTAAATATTTTTTGTATAAGAAGATGACCATAGGACTTACCAGGAGGCCAAAAACAGTGAAACATAGTCCATCATGTGTAATAACACTTGGATATTAACTGACCTTCCTAGGGGCTCTAAGCCTTTAAGTAGCAAATTGGTGTTTACAAAGAAACTAAAGCCCAATGGTTCAATAGAAAAATACAAGGCTAGATTAGTAGTTTGTAGAAACTACCCAAAGAAGGGGCTAGATTTATTTGATACTTAATCTCCTATTAGTAAGGTTGCCACGATTAGAGTACTTATAGCTTTTGCATCCATTCATAATCTTATTGTGCATCAAATGGATGTAAAAACTGCTTTTCTTAATGGTGATTTGCAAGAAGAAATATATATGAGGCAAACTGAAGGATGTGTAGTACCAGGACAGCAAAGAAAAGTATGCAAGCTAATTAGATCATTATATGGTCTAAAACAGGCACCAAAACAGTGGTATGAAAATTTTGATCAAACCATTATCTCTAATGGTTTTCAGGTAAACGATTTTGATGTATGTGTTTACTCAAAATCTGATGAAACTGGTTGTGTTATAATGTCTATATGTGGATGATATGCTTATTTTTGGTTCTAATATAGACATTATTAATGCAACAAAAACTTTTTTAAGCTCTTATTTTGATATGAAAGACTTAAGAGAAGCTGATGTGATACTTGGCATAAAATTACTAGGATTTCACATGGGTTGTGTCTAAATCTATCACACTACATTGAGAAAATTTTACAGAAATTTAATCAATTTGAGTGTTCACCTGTTAAAACCCATATGATCCTAGTCTACATTTGAAAAAGAACAAAGGTAATAGTGTTTCACAAGAAGAATATCCCAAGATTATTGGAAGTGTCATGTTTTTAATGAACTATATAAGGCCTGATATAGCATATGTTGTTAGTAGATTGGATAGATACACCCATAATCCTAATCGTGAACATTGGGGTGCTTTGATTAGATTATTGAAATATTTAAAGGGGATAATCAATTGGGGTCTACATTACCAAAGGACACCATGTGTCTTAGAAGGGTACTGTGACGCCAATTGGGTGTCTGACAATGATGATTTTCAATCTACTAGTGGATATATTTTATTTTACTCTTGCAAGTGGTGCTATATCATGGAAATATTCTAAGCAAACTTGTAATGCTAAATCTACAATGGAATTTG